TTCATGTTTAGAGGCTGCAGTGAATATGATCACAACACTGCCCTCCAGCCTGGGCAACCGAGTGAGACCCTGTCTCAAAAGCACGAATCTGAACATGGTTCGGTTACCTGTGTCCAGCTCCATCTTCCTCTAGGCACTCAATTGGTCAAGCCTGGACAGAAAGAGACCTAGAGCAGAGAAGTCTTCATGGAAAAGAGGGCATTGGAGCTGGGGCTTCACAGGATGAGTAGGAGTTCACATCAAAACGTAGAGTCAGGGAGACAAGGACTGACCCAGAAAACAAGCCAGATCAGAAAAAACTAGCAAGTTGGACTGTGAAGAATTAATAGCCCATGGGGGCTAGGCGGGCAGTGGGGAAGTGTATTCATATTATGTGGGAGTTACACTCAGAAACTCAACTGTCCTAGAATTGTAATTCTCCCTGGAACAGGGGCTGTTCCTGGCAGCTGTTGGGGGTCAGGGTAGAAGCTGGGAGAGGAGGAGGAAGCAACTACTCTAGTCCAGGCAAGAGAAGAGGCGTCAGTGGCCGGGCGTGGTGGCTCACATCTGTAATTCCAGCACTTTGGGAGGTCGAGGCAAGTTAATCACGGGATCATGAAATCGAGACCAGCCTGGCCAACATGGTGAAACTTCTTCTCTACTAAAAATACAAAATTAGCTGGGCGTGGTGGCACGCGCCTGTAGTCCCAGCTACTCAGGAGACCGAGGCAGGAGAATCACTTGAACCCAGGTAGGCAGAGGTTGCAGTGAGCTGAGGTCATGCCACTGCACTCCAGCCTGGCGACAGAGGGAGACTCCATCTTAAAAAAAAAAAAAAGAGAGAGAGATAAGGCGGCATAGTCCAGGCTGGTAGCCGCAGTGCTGGGAAGCAGTGGGGAGGTTCGGGGTGTATTTTCATCTAGCTGGGTTTGTTCTCACTATGGTTTAGTAACCGTCTTCTGTTCCTGCCTGCAGCCCAGGGAGCGTTCAGCCTCATCTTTCTAGAACCCTGTTCCTGCTGCTGCTGTTGGTGGCCTCAGCCTGGGGGGTTACCCTGAGCCCCAAAGCCTGCCAGGTGTTCCACTCAGACAATGGCACCTCCATCTCCTGCCAACCACCTGCCGCAATTCCCAGCCACCTGCCAGCCGACACCGCTGTACCTGGCGGTGGAGTTCTTCAACCTGACACAGCTGCCGGCTGACCTCCTCCGGGACGCCTCCAAGCTCCGAGAGTTGCACCTCTCCACGAACGGGCTGGAGGGCTTCTCACCCGAGCTTTTGCAGCAAGTACCGCAGCTCCGGGTGCTGGATCTCACCCGAAACGCCCTGACCAGGCTGCTCCCGGGCCTCTTCCAGGCCTCAGCCGCCCTGGACACCCTGGTGTTGAAAGAAAACCAGCTGGAGGTCCTAGAGGCCTCGTGGCTGCACGGCCTGAAGGCCCTGAGGCATCTGGATCTGTCTGGGAACCGCCTCCAGACACTGCCCCCTGGGCTGCTGGCCAACCTCACCCTCCTACGCATCCTTGACCTTGGGGAGAACCAGCTGGAGACCTTGCCACCTGACCTTCTGAGGGGTCCTCTGCAACTAGAACGGCTCCATCTAGAAGGCAACAGATTGCAGGTCCTGGAAAAGGGCCTTCTCGTGCCCCAGCCAGACCTGCGCTACCTTTTTCTGAACTGCAACAAGCTGGCTAGGGTGGCAGCCGGTGCCTTCCAGGGCCTGCGGCAGCTGGACATGCTGGACCTCTCCAATAACTCGCTGGCCAGCGTGCCCGAGGGGCTCTGGGCATCCCTAGGACAGTCAAATCGGGATCTGCGGGACGGCTTCGACATCTCCAGCAACCCCTGGATCTGTGACCGGAACCTGAGTGACCTCTTGCGTTGGCTGAAGGCCCAAAAAGACAAGATGTTTTCCCAGGGTGACACGCGCTGTGCTGGGCCTGAAGCCGTGAAGGGCCAGCCGCTCCTGGCAGTGGCCGAGCTGGCCCAGTGAGACCTGGGGCTGGGGTTGAGGGTCGGGGGTCTGGGAGAACGCTACAACCCACTTAGCAAATAATCCCGCCTTTTAAAGGTGAGATGTGGGGGCCGTCCCTTGTGGCTGGGGCCCCGTTTCACCCACCCGTGCTTCCGAGACCACACAGTGGGCTTCCCAGCCTCCTGACCCGTGCCCAGGGTATGTCCTCTCTCTGGAATGCCGTTTCCTATTTCTCAGCTCTCTTGGCCTCCAGGGTCTCCCAGTCCCCTTGTCCTTCCCGGTGGCTGAGCCCCAGCCACACTGGGGCTGCCTTTCTCTGACTTTGTCTTCCCTAAGTCAGGGGCTCTCGGAGTGCAGGGTCCGGTGCTGTCCCACTTAGCTCGGGCTCAGACCTAAAGGGTTTAGTAAATAACTCTTGAACACTGGACTGGATGAATCAGCTTTCACTATGTTCCTAGAATCTTCCCAAATCAACTTCCTAGGACTCCAGAGTGAAGGAGGAAAAGAGGTATGGCCCAGGGCCTGGGGTGTGACATGGTTTCCCTAGTGGGTGGCAATTGGGATCAGTGGCCTGTGGCTTCTCCTCTCCCTGCCCCCATCCTGGGACCTCACTGCAAATAAAACCTTGACCATCGCCCAGGTGTCATTTTACCAGTGAATTCCTGCCAGGGCTGGTATCCCAGGAGAAGGTTGAAGTTAAACCAGATTGCCCAGGTCTCCAAACAATTTGTCATGCTGGCCTCAGATCATCTAAGGGGGCACCTGCCCCAGGCAAGGTTGCAGGGGTGGGATGGGGCTGAAGGGATGGGCAGGGTCCCGGGGCCACCTGCTGATAACAGCATTGGCCATGTGGGGCTGCAATCAGATCTGGGGGACCCTGGGACATGGGGGCATGACCCATTTTCCCAGCTCCCTGAAAAATGACATGCACAGTGGCTCATGCCTATAATGACAGCCAGGTGTGGTGGCTCACGCCTGTAATCCCAGCACTTTGGGAGGCCAAGGCTGGTGGATCACTGAAGGTCAGGAGTTCGAGACCAGCCTGGCCAACATGACGAAACCCCAGTCTCTACTAAAAATACAAAAATTAGCCTGGTGTGCGGTGGCGCATGCCTGTAGTCTCAGCTACTTGGGAGACTGAGACAGGAGAATCACTTGAACCTGGGAGGCGGAGGTTGCAGTGAGCCGAGATCATACCACTGCCCTCCAGCCTGAGCAACAAAGTGAGACTCCGTCTCAAAAAAAATTAAAAAATTAAAAATAGGCCGGGCACGGTGGCTCAAGCCTGTAATCCCAGCACTTTGGGAGGTCGAGGTGGGTGGATCACAAGGTCGAGAGATCGAGACCAACCTGGTCAACATGGTGAAACCCCGTCTCTACTAAAAATACAAAAAATTAGCTGGGCATGGTGGCGTGTGCCTATAATCCCAGTTACTCAGGAGGCTGAGGCAGGAGAATTGCCTGAACCCAGGAGGCGGAGGTTGCGGTGAGCCGAGATCGCGCCATTGCACTCCAGCCTGGGTAACAAGAGCGAAACTCCATCTCAAAAAAAAAAAAAATAATTAAATTAAAAATAAATAAAAATAAAAATAAATTGCTAGGTGGGTGATGGCTCACACCTGTAATCCCAGCACTTTGGGAGGCCAAGGCAGGTGTATCATTTGAGGTCAGGAGTTTGAGAGCAGCCCGGCCAACATGGCAAAATCTCGTCTCTACTAAAAATACAAAAATTAGCGAGGCATAGTGGCACATGCCTGTAATCCCAGCTACCTGGGATGCTCAGGCAGGAGAATTGTTTGAACCTGGGAGGTGGAGGTTGCAATGAGCCAAGATCCTGCCACTGCACTCCAGATTGGGGCTACAGTGAAACTGTGTTTTTTTTTTTAAAAAAAAAAAAAAAAAAAAGATCATGCCGACGTCTGCGGTCATTCCAGGCACAGGAATGAAAGGCAGGGTTCTGGGGTCCAGCAGGGGTGGGCTTGAATAGGGTCCCTCACTTGCTGGGGTGGCCAGGGAAAATGGTTTGTGATCTCTAAGACTCAGCTTGCTCATCTGTAAAACGGGCATCCTAGGGAAAGCGCAGGTCTGCTTCTGGCTTAGTGAAGGGGCAAATTAAGAAATAAAAAGAGCCGGGCGCGGTGGCTGAAGCCTGTAATCCCAGCACTTTGGGAGGCCGAGGCGGGTGGATCACGAGGTCAAGAGATCGAGACCATCCTGGTCAACATGGTGAAACCCCGTCTCTACTAAAAATACAAAAAAATTAGCTGGGCATGGTGGCACGTGCCTGTAATCCCAGCTACTCAGGAGGCTGAGGCAGGAGAATTGCCTGAACCCGGGAGGCGGAGGTTGCGGTGAGCCGAGATCGCGCCATTGCACTCCAGCCTGGGCAACAAGAGCGAAACTCCCTCTCAAAAAAAAAAAAAAGAAAAGAAAAAGAAATAAAAAGAGGCTGTACAGGTTACATATTATTTTAACCTGTAATCCCAGCAATTTGGGAGGCCAAGGTGGAAGGATCACTTAGGGCTCAGGAGTTCAAGACCAGCCTGGTCAACACAGGAATATCCCATCGTGGTGGCACGTGCCTGTGGTCCCAGCTACTCAGGAGGCTGAGGCGGTAGGATCACCTGAGCTTGCGAGGGCAAGGCTGCTGTGAGCTATGATCACACCGCTCCACTCCAGTCCTGGGCAACCGAGCAAGATCCAGTCTCAAAAATCGGTAAATAATAATTATAAGAAAGAAAGTCACTGAGGATTTGGCCACGGTCACTTAGCAAGGCCACGGGGGCTGTGAGCGCATGGACTGTGTCCATGGCAACAGCAGTGAGTGACAGGTGACCAAAGTGAGCCGTGGAAAGTATACTACCTCAATCTTTGGCAAACGCAGAGCACCGGGCGAGCCCACGGGGAGGGCGAGAGCGAGGGAAACCTGGCGCCACGCCCCCCCGGGCACGCGCTCGGGCACGCCCCCTCAGGGCCTCTCCCCATTGGTTGGTTCCCGGAGGCCCCACCCACCCGTGCAGCTATAAGGTGGGCGGGGCCGGCGTGGGGGGCGGAGACTTGAGCCTGGGGTCGCCGGAGACGCCTGGGGTCTGAAGCCGCAAGCGCCCAGGTGAGTGCCCTGAGGGCAGCGTCCAGGAGCGCCCCCGCACTCAGGAGGGGAGCTCCGGGTAGGGTGGTTCCGCGAAGGTCCGGCGGCGTGGGACGGGTACGACGGGCCAGAGCAGGTGGCTGGGACCCTTGGCACAATTGGCCGAAGCCCAGGACCTAGTTGGGCGGGGACCAGGCCTCAGAGGGCGCGGGGTGGCAACCCGCAGGCGGCAAGTCTGAGGCCTGAGGTCGAGCTCCCCCTTCCAACCAGGTTGGCTGAGTGACCTTGGGCCCAGCATGGACATGCTGCCTGCCTCAGTTTCCCTGTCTGTCAAATGAGCTGTGAGGGGTCTAGGACTCAGCGGGTACCACCTCCACCCCTGTCTGGGGTGCTTGTGCAGTTCTGGGCCCAGGCGGGGGCCGCAGGAGTAGCAGGGGTCTCCCCCATCTGACAGAAGAGAAAACAGCCCAGGGAGGTGGAGGTGCTTGCCAAAAATCACACAGCAGGCCAGGTGCAGTGGAGTCTGTCACCCCAGCACTTTGGGAGGCCGAGTCAGGTGGATCACTTGAGCCCAGGAGTTTGAGACCAGCCTGGGCAACATGGCGAAACCCTTTACTAACAATACAAAAATTAGCCGGTGTGGTGGCACCTGCGTAATCCCAGCTACTTGGGAGGCTGATGACGGAAAATCACTTGAACCTGGGAGGCGGAGGTTGCAGTGAGCTTAGATTGCGCCACTGCACTCCAGCCTAGATGACAGATATTCTGTCTTTAAAATGATAATAGCCGGGCACAGTGGCTCATGCCTGTAATGCCAGCACTTTGGGAGGCCAAGGCAGGCAGATCACCTGAGGTCAGGCTGAGCAACATGGAGAAATCCTGTCTTTACTAAAACAAAAAATACAAAATTAGCTGGATGAAGTGGTGCACACCTGTTAATCCCAGCTACTCAGGAGCCTGAGGCAGGAGAATCACTTGAACCCAGGAGGCAAAGGTTGCAGTGAGCCAAGATCATGCCATTGCACCCCAGCCTGGGCAACAAGATCGAAACTCCATCTCAAAAAAAAAAAGATAATAAATAAAAATCACATAGCAGTTAATGGTAGGACTCAAACCCAGGTCTTTCTCACCCCAAAACCATGCTTTGAGTCACTCCAGCAACCCCACCTTGCCTGAGGCTCATTACTGTACACCTTTTGTGTACAGAGCCCTGGGCACGCATTGTCTGGGCCCCGCAGAACACCCCATTATGCAAATGAAGAAACTGAGGCCCCAAGAGGTTTGAGACTTGCTCGAGTCACAGAGCCCGATTTGACAGGGTCCCAGGCCTGGGCAGGTGTCCCCTTACTCCATCCTGCCCCTCAGGGTGACCCTGTTTGCAGCACGATGTCCGAAGATGAGGCGGCTCAGATCCCCAGACCCAGCGTATGGGAGCAGGACCAGCAGGTAAGGACTGCCCCTCTGAGGAGCGGGGACACAGGAATCCTGGGGGACAGTCCCTTCTAGGAGCGTTGCAGGTCCAGCATCGTGCACCACTCCACTCCTTGCTGGGAAAACCTGACTCCTAAAATTTGGACCATGGAGCGGGGGATGGGGCATTTCCTGGAGGGGGCTTCATGAGGCCCTGGGACCGGAGTGGGTCTGAAAGACACCCAGCCAGCTTCTGTAGCCCCTGCCCAACCCTTTCCCTCTCCCATCCGTGGGTCTCCACCTGTATCCTCCTGTCTCCACGTCCACCATCATGGCGCCGTCAATAACACAGTAATAATAGAGCAACAATCACTGTGTCAGCCACAGTTCCAAGAGTTTCGCATATATTGGCTCCTTGAACACCCTATCACAACCCTAAAAACGCATTTCAGGGCCGGGCACAGTGGCTCATGCCTGTAATCCTAGCACTTTGGGAGGCTGAGGTGGGTGGATCACTTGAGGTCAGGAGTTCGAGACCAGTCTGGCCAACATGGTGAAACCCCATCTCTACTAAATTTTTTTTTAAAAAAATTAGCCAGGTGTGGTGGTGTGCACCTGTAATCCCAGCTTCTCAGGAGGCTGAGGCAGGAGAATCATGTAAACCCAGGTGCGGAGGTTGCGGTGAGCCAAGATCACACCCTGGCTCTCCAGCCCAGGTGACAGTGCAAGACTCCATTTAAAAAATAAAACATGGCCAGATGTGGTGGCGCAAGCCTGTAATCCCAGCACTTTGGGAGGCCGAGGCGGGTGGATCACGAGGTCAAGAGATCGAGACCATCCTGGTCAACATGGTGAAACCCCGTCTCTACTTTAAAAAAAAAAAAAAATGTATATATGTTTCATAGTTGGGGAAACAAAGGCCAGGTTGACATGCTTGGAGGTGACTGAAGCAGAAGTGAACAGAGGTCGCTGTGCTCCAGGGGAGATGCTCTGAAACCCCAGACTCTAATGACCTTCCTGGAGCAGACAGATAACAGTCGACCCTTTAACTCGGGTTTGAAGTGTTCAGGTCTGGCCAGGCGTCGTGGCTCATGCCTGTAATTCCAGCACTTTAGGAGGCCAAGATGGGCGGATCACCTGGGGTCAGGAGTTCAAGACCAGCCTGGCCAACGTGGTGAAACCCCGTCTCTACCAAAAAACAAACAAAAAAAAGCCTGCTGTGGTGGCTGGGGCATGTAATCCCAGCTACTCCAGAGACTGAGGGAGGAGAATCTCGAACCCGGGAGGCAGAGGTATGCAGACTTTTTCAACCAAATGCAGATCAAAAAATATATAGTATTTGGCCAGGTGCAGTGGCTCATGCCTATAATCCCAACATATTAAGAGGCTGAGGGGGGAGGATCACTTGAGCCAGGAGTTCAAGACCAGCTTGGGCAACCTAGCAAGACCACATCTCTATAAAATGAAATCAGCTGGGCGTGGTGGTGTGCACCTGTAGGTCCAGCTACTCGGAGGCTGAGGCAGGAGGACTGCTTGAGCCTGGGAAGTTGAGGTTGCGGTCAGCTGTGCTCGAGTCCTCGCGCTCCAGCCTGGACAACAGAACAGGAGCTTGTCTCTATTGAAGAAAACTGTGGCCAGATGCAGTGGCTCATGCCTCTTATCCTAGCACTTTGGGAGGCCCAGGCGGGTGGATCACCAGAGGTCAGTAGTTTGAGACCAGCCTGGCCAACATGGTGAAACCCTGTCTGTACTTAAAAAAATTTTAAAAAATAAAAAAAATAAAAGCCAGGTGTGGTGGCAGGCACCTGTATAATCCCAGCCACTTGGGAGGCTGAGGTGGGAGAATTGCTTGAAACCAGGAGGTGGAGGTTGCAGTGAGCTGAGATCACGCCACTGCACTCCAACCTGGGCAACAAGAGTGAAACCCCGTCTCAAAAAAGAAAAAAAGAAAAATTGTGACGTTCCTTGTATTCCATGAGAAGAGGCCCGCGTGAGCGCAGGACCCGTGACATTCTCACACGCACGTGCCTCCACTTCCTCTACATGGCGGGGTGCTCAGCCCTCTATCCGCCCTCTCTCCCATCCCTTGTCCTGGCCCAGAGAGGGGAAATGGGCTGAGGTGTGGCTGGGGCCCCACTTCCCCCAGGGTCCCCCTGATGCTGACCCTTCCCACAGAACGTGGTGCAGCGCGTGGCGGCTCTGCCCCTGGTCAGGGCCACGTGCACTGTGGTCTGCGATGCTTACAGCTCAGCCAAGGACAGGCATCCGCTGCTGGGGTCCGCCTGCCGCCTGGCTGAGCAGTGCGTGTGTGGCCTGACCACCCGTGCCCTGGACCACGCCCAGCCGCTGCTCGAGCACCTGCAGCCCCAGCGTGAGTGCCCCGACCCGTGTGTCCCTGGGAGCTGTGGCTTGTCCCCGTGTCCCGTCTACCTTGGTCTGTCTGCATGACATTCCTGGTGTCATCCTTGGCCTAGCTACCTGTCCCACAGCCATTCACCTCTCCTCAATCTCTTATGTCCCTCTTTTAATCTCAGCACCAGCTGGGCGTGGTGGCTTATGCCTATGATCCCAGCACTTTGGGAGGTCAAGGTAGGAGGATCGCTTGAGGCCAGGAGTTCAAGACCAGCCTGGGCAACATAGCGAGACCCGGTATCTCAAAAAAAAAAAAAAAAAAAAAAAAAACTTTAAAAAATCTGGCCAGGTGTGGTGGCTCATGCCTGTAATCCCAGCACTTTGAGAGGCAGAGGCAGGTAGATCACTTGAGGTCAGGAGTTCAAGACCAGCGTGGCCAACATGCTGAAACCCCTTCTCTACTAAAAATGCAAAAAATTAGCTGGGCATGGTGGCGTGTGCCTGTAATCCCAGCTACATGGGAGGCTGAGGCAGGAGAATGGCTTGAACCCGGGAGGCGGAGGTTGCGGTGAGCCGAGATCGAACCTCTACGTTCCAGCCTTAGCAACAAGAGTGAAACTCCTTCTCAAAAAAAAAAAATAAATAAATCTGATCCCCAGGCCCTCTTCCCTTCCTCATCTGCTCACTGGTGGTGCCCCCTCTCGTCCCCATTCCGTCCGTCTGCCTGTCTTCCCTCAACAGTCGGCCTGACGTGCCTCGGGTCCCTTTGTCCCTGCAGGCTCCCTCCCCTCTGTGCCTGCCTCTGCCTGTCCCGACCCCGCAGCCTCAGCCTCGCAGTTCTCGCATCTCTGGACCCCCGAGCTGATGACAGGCAGGGGACAAAAGGGCCCTTGGTTTCTAGTCTGGCCCAGGAAGGCGGTCCCCTGACGGTCCCAGCCCAGCACCTCCCCACCTCCCTCTCAGCCGGCGTCTGGGACCTTGAGTCCATCCGCTGGGCCATCTGAGCTGGGCAGGGCTGAAAAGTCACCTTGGTGCTGGGAGAACGGGGTGGGTGGCAGGGCCCAGGCAGGAGGGCAAAGGAGGCAGCGCCCAAGCCCACGGCGCACTCACACCAGCAGGGCCCCAGTCTCGCCTAGGGAAGGTCTAAGCCGCCTCCCCATCTCCCTCTCCTAGAGTCTCTCTGTGGGACTACAGGTATCTGTCCCAGCGTCTTAGTGGCTTCTTGGTGTAAGGCCTCATCCGCGTGTCGGTCCCCTCTCCATCCTTGCGTTTCATGTCTCCCTGTCTCTCCTGGTCTCTTCCTTCTCTGTCTCTGCGTCTGTCTCTAGTACTCCCTCCTCTACAACTCTCGCCGTGTCCCTATCTCCCTCCCTGTCTCATTCCCTGCCTGTCTCCCTTCAGTGGCCACCGTGAACAGTCTCGCCTGCAGGGGCCTGGACAAGCTGGAGGAGAAGCTTCCCTTTCTCCAGCAACCTTCAGAGACGGTACCCTGGGTGACCGGCTGTGGGGACCTCCGGGGTGGCAGGCCAGAGGAGAGGCGGGAGGGAGGGCGGGATGGTGCCAGCCAGGCTTTTGGTGAACTCGAGAAAAAACAGCCAGGTTAAGATAATTGCAACCTGCATATATAGTGCCAGTAAGGGCAGGTAACACCCTCAACACCCTCTGTGAAGGAAGGGTTTTATTACCCATTTTATAGGGGAAACTGAGGCACAGAGCCAGGATCTTTGAGTCCCGGCCTCAGGGAACTGGAGTAGCAGAAATGGAGCTGGAGTTCTTGGTGCTTGGAGTGGGGGCCCTGCCTTCCAGGTGGTGACCTCAGCCAAGGACGCAGTGACCAGCGGTGTCACGGGCGTGGTGGACCTGGCCCGGCGCGGCCGGCGCTGGAGCGTGGAGCTGAAGCGCTCCGTGAGCCACGCCATGGATGTCGTGCTGGAAAAATCAGAGGAGCTGGTGGATCACTTCCTGCCCATGACGGAGGAGGAGCTGGGTGAGGATGACACCCTCGACCCTAACCCGGGTCCTCCTGTCCCAGCCCCCATGCCCCGGTGGTACAGATCAGAGAGGTGTGAGACCCGCCCAAGGACACACAGCAGATAAGCAGGAAACACACACAACTGGAAACCAGGCCTGTCATTCTCTCCCAGTCATGTCTACAGCCCCCAACCTGCATCCCATTGGAAGTCAGAATACCCAGATCCTAAGGGAATAGAGTTTTTAGACTTGAGGTCTCAAACTTGTGCCCCACCCCCCGCAAATGCCCATGCAGTGTGTTTTAAATATTTTCATTCTTTCCATGTATGTAACAACCAGATTTTAGCTGGGCACGGCGGCTCACGCCTATAATCCCAGCACTTTGGGAGGCCGTGGCAGGCGGATCACCTAAGGTTGGGAGCTTGAGACCAGCCTGAGAAACCCTGTCTCGACTAAAAATAAAAAATTAGCCGGGTGTGGTGGCACATGCCTGTAATCCCAGCTATTCGGGAGGCGGAGGCAGGAGAATTGCTTGAACACTGGAGGTGGAGGTGAGCAGCTGGGATTATGCATGCCTGACTAATTTTGTATTTTTAGTAGAGACAGGGTTTCTCCATGTTGGTCACGCTGGTCTGGAACTCCCAACCTCAGGTGATCCACCCGCCTCACCATTCCAAAGATCTGGGATTCCAGGTGTGGGTCACCACACCTGGCCAATTCTTGTGTATTTGGTAGAGATAGGGTTTTGCATATTGGCCAGGCTGGTCTTGAACTCCTGACCTCAGGTGATCTGCCTGCCTTGGCCTCCCATAGTGCTGGTATGACAGGCATGAGCCACCATGCCCGGCCGGCTATTTTTTATTTTTCATTCTTTTTTTAAATTTAAAATTTTTTTTTGAGACAGGGTCTTGCTCTGTTGCCCAGGCTACAGGGCAGTGGTGTGATCCCAGCTCACTGCAGCCTTGAATTCCTAGGCTCAAGTGATCCTCCTGTCTCAGCCTTTCAAGCAGCTGGGACCGTAGGCATGCGCCACCATGTCCAGCCCTGGCTAATTTCCATATTTATCTTTTAGAGATGGGGACTTGCTGTATTGCCCAAGCTGGTCTCAAAGCAACCCTCCCTGGGCTCAAGCAGCCCTCCCATGTCGGCCTCCAAAAGTGCTGGAATTACAGGTGCATGCCACTGCACCCAACCTATATATATGTATATATATATATATATATATATATATATATATATATATATTTTTTTTTTTTTTTTTTTTTTTTTTGAGACGGAGTTTCACTCTTGTTACCCAGGCAATCACAGCCGCACACCACCAAGCCTGGCTAATTTTTGTGTTTTTAGTAGAGACGGGTTTTCACCATGTTGGCCAGGCTGGTCTCAAACTCCTGACCTCAAGTGATCCACCTGCCTTAGCCTCCCACAGTGCCGGGATTCCAGGTGTGAGCCACCGTGCCCGGCCTCAGCTGCGTTTGATGTCAGACCCAGGTTAAGGGACTTTGGTTGAAGCGGGTGTAGCACCTGGAGAGGGACCACGTGTGCTTCATGCCATGTATATGTCCTTGGATGAAATTTGCTTTGCAGTGCAGATTTCCCCCCATGCTTCTCAGGTTTCTGGACATGGCTGGACGGCAGACAGAATGACCTGCTTGTTGGGGGCATGTATTCAGATGACTTGGCAGTTTTCTTTAATGTGGTATTGTGATAGATGAGTTCATACTTTTTTTTTTTTTTTTCGGAGACAGGGTGTCACTCTATTGCCCATACTGGAGTGCAATGGCGTCATCTTGGCTCACTGCAGCCTCAGCCTCCCGGGCTCAGATGATCCTCCCACTTCAGCCTCCTGAGTAGCTGGGACTCCAGGTGTACACCACCATGCCTGGCTCATTTTTGTAGTTTATTTTTTATTTTATTTTTATTATTTTTTTGAGACGGAGTTTCGCTCTTGTTACCCAGGCTGGAGTGCAATGGCACGATCTTGGCTCACCGCAATCTCCGCCTCCTGGGTTCAGGCAATTCTCCTGCCTCAGCCTCCTGAGTAGCTGGGATTACAGGCACGTGCCACCATGCCCAGCTAATTTTTGTATTTTTAGTAGAGACGGCGTTTCACCATGTTGACCAGGATGGTCTCGATCTCTTGACCTCGTGATCCACCTGCCTCGGCCTCCCAAAGTGCTGGGATTACAGGCTTGAGCCACCGCGCCTGGCCCCCAACCTATATTCTTAAAAGGCCACTGAAGAGAATGGTTAAGAGGCTGGGCACAGTGGCTCACGCCTGTAATCCCAGTACTTTGAGAGGCCGAGGCGGGCAGATGACCTGAGGTCAGGAGTTCAAGACCAGCCTGGCCAACATGGTGAAACCTGGTCTCTACTAAAAATGCAAAACTTAGCTGGGCGTGGTGGTGTGGTGGTGCGCACCTGTGGTCCCAGCTACTCAGGAGACTGAGGCAGGAGGCTCGCTTGAACATGGGAGGCTGAGGTTGCAGTGAGCCAGGATCATGCTGCTGCACTCCAGCCTGGGGGACAGAGTGAGACTCCATCTCAAAAAAAAAAAAAAAAAGAAAAGAAAATGGTTAAGCAGTTTGGGGCCAGTGTGCCTGGGTTCCACTCGAGGTCTGTTTCTGTGGTGCCTTGTGGTACCTTGCTTCTCCTTGCCTCAGTTTCCCTCCTGTGTAGAAGGCACCTACACCTTAGTGTTTGGGGAAGACCAAATGGGTTGATGTCAGTCAAGAGGAGCGGTGAATTTGGGAAACTGGCTTCTGGACCTGGAGGCGGGCGAGCGGATGTGGAGGGGATGGGCCGTGCTCACCCCGCTCTGTCCCTGGCATCCTGTCCTCCAGCGGCACTGGCGGCTGAGGCTGAGGGCCCGGAAGTGGGATCAGTGGAAGATCAGAGGAGACAGCAGGGCTATTTTGTGCGGCTTGGCTCACTGTCAGCGCGGATCCGCCACCTGGCCTATGAGCACTCTCTGGGGAAACTGAGGCAGAGCAAACACCGCGCCCAGGACACACTGGCCCAGCTGCAGGAGACTCTGGAGCTGGTAAGAGCCCACTACCGCCCCTGCTGCTGGGTGTAAGCCAATCGGTATAGACAGCGCCAGCTGAATACCTGATTCCGTGCTAGCCTGATGGGGGAGGCGGAGCTGGGTGCAGCTATCTCCGGCTGCGTGTGTTCAGGGCTGGGGGACCCGGGCCTGGAGGAACCCGTGGGTGTCATGACTCTGCCTGGGGAGTCAGGGAGGGGTTTTATGGAAGAGGGGAAGGAGGAGCTGAAATTTATAGCAAGTCAGGGTAGGTCAGAAGAAAGCCTTCCAGCTGGACTTGGTGGCTCACGCCTGTAATCCCAGCACTTGCAGATTACTGAAGGCTGAGGCGGGCAGATCACGAGGTCAGGAGTTTGAGACCAGCCTGGCCAACATGGTGAAACCCCGTCTCTGCTGAAAATACAAAATTAGCTAGACGTGGTGGCACGTGCCTGTAATCCCAGCTCCTCGAGAGGCTGAGGCAGGAGAATTGCCTAAACCCGGGAGGGAAAGGTTGTGGTGAGCCAAGATCACGCCATTGTACTCCAGCCTGGGCAACAAGAGCAAAACTCTGCTTTAAAGAATTTTTGTAAAAAAATCCTCTTCCAGTGCCCTCTTTGTCAGAATCCTCCCATGCTGCTCCCATCGCAGCAGCCACCAGGGGGCACCTGTGAGCCTCTGAGTCAGGTCTATCCCTTCTCTGCCCACAACGTTCTATGGCTCCCACCTGCCTTGGGGTCCAAGCCCAAGCCCTTCCCATATCTCTGCACGACCTGCTTCTGTCTCCTCAGTGCTTACTCAGGCCAGATCCAGGCTAGGGTTGGTCCTGGGCCCATCCCCACCCTCAGATCCCCCAGCCCTGAACACTGTCCACCATCTCTGTCCTTGCAGATAGACCACATGCAGTGCGGGGTGACCCCCACCACCCCGGCCCGCCCCGGGAAGGTGCATGAGCTGTGGGGGCACTGGAGCCAGTGCCCTCCGGAGAACGGCCGCCGGAGCCAGGTGAGACTTCCAGTGCGCCAGGTGAGGTGGTGTCTGCCACCAGGCTGTGGAGGGAGGGGGAGCGAGGAGTTATGGGTCAGCCCAGTGCTGCCAGGAACCCAGCTATCTCAAACCAAGTGCTGAGCTCAGATACTTGGGGTGTCCATGGGGGGAAACTGAGGCAGGGTTCAGTTCCCATTGTGTTTGTTTTTTTTTTTTTGAGACAGAGTCTTGCTCTTGTTGCCCAGGCTGGAGTACAATGGCATGATGGCAGGTCACTGCAACCTCCACCGCCTGGGTTCAAGCGATTCTCCTGCCTCAGCCTCCCGAGTAGCTGGGATTACAGGGATGAACCACCACACCCAGTTAGTTTTGTTTGTTTTTGGTATTTTTAGTTAGAGATGGGGTTTCACCACGTTGGCCAGGCTGGTCTTGAACTCCTGACCTCGTGATCTGCCTGCCTCGGCCTCCCAAAGTGCTGGGATTACAGGCTTGAGCCACCACGCCCGGCTGTTTTATTTTTGAGATGGAGTTTTGCTCTTGTCCAGGCTGGAGTGCAGTGGCGCCATCTTGGCTCACTGAAACCTCCGCCTACTGTGTTTGAACGATTGACCTGCCTCAGCCTCCCAAGTAGCTGAGATTACAGGCATATACCACCACACCCAGCTAATTTTTGGTTTTTTGGTAGTGATGGGGTTTCACCATGTTGGCCAGGCTGGTCTCGAACTCCTAACTTCAGGTGATCCACCCACCTCAGCCTCCCAAAGTGCTGGGATCGCAGGTGTGAGCCACCGTACCCGGCCCCATTCTATGTTTATGAGGGAGACCGAGGCAGAGCTGGGTCACATTCTGTGTCCGTGGGGGATAGGACCATGAGGTCAGTGAGACAGATTGACAGTCCCACTGTGGGTCTATTGGGGAAACTGAGGCAGGACGGCAGTCCTGTTGGGCCTCCGTCAGGGAAACTGAGGTCCCCGCCCCCTGCAGGCAGAGCTGGAGACGCTGGTGCTATCCCGCAGCCTGACCCAGGAGCTTCAGGGCACGGTAGAGGCGCTGGAATTCAGTGTGCGGGGCCTACCCCCTAGTGCCCAGGAGAAGGTGGCTGAAGTGCGGCGTAGCGTGGACGCCCTGCAGACCGCCTTCGCCGACGCCCGCTGCTTTGGGGATGTGCCGGCGGCCGCGCTGGCCGAGGGCCGGGGTCGTGTGGCTCGGGCGCACGCCTGCGTGGACGAGCTGCTGGAGCTGGTGGTGCAGGCCGTGCCGTTGCCCTGGCTGGTGGGACCCTTCGCGCCCATCCTTGTGGAGCGATCTGAGCCCCTGCCGGATCTGGAGGCCCAGGTGGATGAGGTCATTGGGGGCCCTGACCCCCGCTGGGCACACCTGGACTGGCCGGCCCAGCAGAGAGCCTGGGAGGCCCAGCACGGGGATGGGGACAGGGACGGGGTGGGCAGCGCCGGGGACATCTGTGAGCAGGAGCCCGAGGCCCCCAGCCGCCCGGTCAAGCACACCCTGATGCCGGAGCTGGACTTCTGACCCGTGGGCCAGTGGGAAGGCCACCTGCAAGCCGAGATCGCTGCCGTCCCCTGATGGTCACGTGTAAGCACGAGGCCTTGGCCTTGACCTGTCTGCAGAATAGGGCTGAATTTAGGATCCCCAACCACCTTTTTCATATTGGACTCTCTCATTCTTTCCTTGGACACATGGACAGAGTCCCAGGAAAAGCAGGGCCTCAAACCCAATTCAGGCCAACTTGAGGCACGAGCTGGGTTCTTCACCTGGGTCCTCCTCCCTGGCTCCATGAAGCTCATCCAAACCTCTCCAAGAGGCCGGGTGTAGTGGCTCCTGCCTGTCATCCCAGCACTTTGGGAGGCCGAGGCAGGCGGATCATCTGAGGTCAGGAGTTCGAGACCAGCCTGGCCAACATGGTGACACTCCGTCTCTACTAAAAATACAGAAAAGCCGGGCGTGTTGGTGCGCACCTGTAGTCCCAGTTAATTGTAAGGCTGAAGCAGGAGAATCACTTGAACCCGGGAGGCGGAGGCTGCAGAGAGCAGAGATTATGCCACTGCACTCCAGCCTAGGTAACAGCAAGATCCCGTCTAAAATCAAAACCTCCCCAAGAAACACATTGTGCCCCATGCCTTCTGTTTGGGGCCTTGAAAAGTGGGCCCTGACTGGGTGTGGTGGCTCACACCTGTAATCACAGCACTCTGGGAGGCCGAGACGGAAAGATCGCTTGAGCTCAGGAGTTGCAGGTTCCAGTGACTCATGATTCTGCCCCTTCCCTCCAGCCTGGTGACAGCGCAAGGCCCTGTCTCAAGGGAGAAAAAAAAAAAAAAAAAAAAATACTTAACACGGGCCGGGCGCGGTGGCTCAAGCCTGTAATCCCAGCACTTCGGGAGGCCAAGGCGGGTGGATCATGAGGTCAAGAGATCGAGATCATCCTGGTCAACATGGTGAAACACCATCTCTACTAAAAATACAAAAAATTAGCTGGGCATGGTGGCGCGTGCCTGTAATCCCAGCTACTCAGGAGGCTGAGGCAGGAGAATTGCCTGAACCCAGGAGGCAGAGGTTGCGGTGAGCTGAGATCGCGCCGTTGCACTCCAGCCTGGGTAACAAGAGCGAAACTCCGTCTCAAAAAAAATAATAAAAAAAAAAATAACAGGGAAACGCACATTTTGCCCTGTTTGGAACTTTAAAAAGTGAGCCCCCCTCCTCTCCTAGTTTTTATATCCTGGACAGATGGGTCCCCCAAAGATGCCGAGGGGCTGTGTTGCTCAGCCTGCCACACCCACTTGCTTCGCTGTTTGGGATATGTCCCTGAATAAAGGTGCTTTCTGATGTTCAAAGGTCCATGCGTGTGTTCCGGCCAGGGTGGGTCTCAGTCCCAGGGGGCTGGGGGCCACAGAGGTGTGTCACTGCAGAGACATGGAGAAGGGGGAGTGCGGAGCCAGGGTGCAAGATGTGGAGGATTGCTGCCCTCTGACCTGCCTGTCATCCTGTCTGGGATCCACTGTTACTGCTCAGCCCACGCAGGGTAAGCATTGCTGCTTAAAATTAGCCGGGCACCATGGCTCACACCTGTAATCCCAGCACTTTGGGAGGCAGAGGCGAAGAGGCGGAAGGATTGCTTTTGTTCCGTTTAGTTTCGAGATGAAGTCTTGCTTTGTCACCAGGCTGGAGTGCTGTGGTGTGATCTCGGCTCACTGCAACCTCTGCCTCCCGGGATCAAGCGATTCTTCTGCCCCAGCCCCCTGAGTAGCTGGGAATACAGGCACGCGCCCCGATGCCCAGCTAATTTTTGTATTTTTAGTAGAGACGGGGCTACACCATGTTGACCAAGTTGGTACCACTGCACTCCAGCCTGGGCAACAGAGTGAGATCCTGTCTCTAAAAATAAGAGCATTGCCCCTTCTGTCTCGTGGAAGTTGTTCTCATCTTGGTCCAGGTGAATTTCGTGGAAATTGCAGGGAGCAGGACAGAAGGGGAAGGAATCGGAGGGGGCAGCTCTCCCCCTGCCTCCCCGGCCCTGCGGGAGCCAGTCTGGCTGTGTGGTCTCTCTGGCTGCGCTGGCCACGGAGAGAAGACAGAGGCAGGGCAAGGGCCACGGGCCAGTCTCAGGGGGCCCCTCCTGTCCTCTGACCGCATTTCTGGCTGCTGCTCAGACTCCCCCAAGGCTGGGTGGGGTGATGGGAACCATGGTGAGGTGCAGTGTGAGGTCAGGGTGGCCCCTTGCTTCCCTGGGACCTGGTCCAGAGGGTGGCTCTGGGATCCCCGACCGCTTCCACCAGCCAAATCCACTTCCCTGCTCCTGTTCCGGAAGCTCCCATAGCTCCCCGCTGCCCACAGACCAAACTCTTCGCCCTCCAGCTTGGCCTGTATACTTGGCTCTAATCCCATCGAAGGGAGCACTTTCCCACTTCCGGGCCTTTGCTGAGGCTATGCGGCCACCTGGAATGCCCTTGCCACCCTCCCATCCGTTCCTTGGACAGGTCTCATGCATCCTCAAGGCCCAGCCCCAGTGCCGCTGCCTCCAGGAAGCCTTCCCGGACTCCATCCCAGCTGGAGAATTCTCTCCTCCAGTCCTCCACTGGACAACTTCTCAAGGTTTCTTGCCCTTTCCACCTTGACTTGTAGCCACAAGGCAGCCTTGCCCTCTCCTCCCACATGAGGCTGGGGGCTCCTGGAGGGCCAGGCCTGTTGAAGATGATCAGGACAGCACACAGGGACAGGCATTTTGGCAGAGGGAACAGCTTAAGGAAAGGCACAGCAGTAGGGAAATCGGCTTCACTGGAGCAGAGGTGAGGACAAGAGAATGGGTCGAGCCAAGCTCTGGGATCTTTTTTTTTTTGGGGTGGGGGGGACATGTTTTGCTCTGTCACCCTGGCTGGAGTGCAGTGGCATGATCTTGACTCACTGCAACGTCCACCTCCAGGTTCAAGCGATTCTCCTGCCTCAGCCTCCCGAGTAGCTGGGGTTACAGGTGCCCGCCACCACGCCTGACTACTTTTTGTGTTTTTAGTAGAGACGGGGTTTTGCCATGTTGGCCAGGCTGGTCTCAAACTCCTAACCTCGGGTGATCCACCTGCCTCGGCCTCCTAAAGTGCTGGGATTACAGATGTGAGCCACTTTGCCCAGCCCAATGATTCATTTAATTTTTATTTAAAAATATTTTTGGGGGCCGGGCACAGTGGCTCACGTCTGTAATCCCAGCACTGCGGGAGGCTGAGGCAGGCGGATCACCTGAGGTTGAGAGTTCAGGCCAGCCTGACCAACATGGAGAAACGCTGTCACTACTAAAAATACAAAATTAGCCGGGCATAGGGGTGCATGCCTGTAGTCCCATATAGCCGGGAGGCTGAGGCAGGAGAATCCCTTGAACCCGGGAGGCGGAGGTTGCAGTGAGCCGAGATCGCGCCTTTGCAAGCAGCCTGGGCAACAAGAGTGAAACTCCGTCTCAAAAATATAAATTTTATAGATACGGGGTCTCGCTCTGTTGCCCAGGCTGGTCTCGAACTCCTAGGCTCAAGCCAGTCCTCCTGCCTCCACCTCCTAAATGCTGGGATTACAGGATGAGCCCCAGCGCCTGGCCTGAGGTGTATATTTTTTAATGGGAGAGGGGATCCAGGAAGGCCTCTTTGAGGAGATGCTGTCTGAGGAATGATCTGGAAGGAGGTGAGGGAAGTGGGGAAGGGTGCTGGAGGCAAAGGCAACCACCCACAGGAGGCCCTGAGGCGGCGTGTGGGGCTCAGCAGCCATAGTCACGTGTGTTTTCGAGGGACTCCTCCGGCCCGGCATGTTGCAGGAACTGTGAAGAGCCCTGTGTGGCTGGAGCAGGGTGGAGAGGGGGCGAGGCAGGTGACACAGGGCCTAGCGGGCTGCCGGGAGGGGACTTGGGCTTCCACCTTGGGAAGGTGGGAGCCACAGAGGGTGGTAGGCAGAGGAGAGGCAGGTCCTGGCTGGGATGTTAATGATTACTTTTTTCCCCCCCCCACTGGGCTGTAGCCACCCTTTGGAGGGGGGAGGGGCACCCAGAGCTTTCCCAGCCGCCCTCGGAGAGCACCGGCTGGGAGGGAGGCTGGGGGACAACCCCTCTTCTGTCCCCTCCCTGTTTGGCAAACACAGTGTCGGCTCCGAGGAGACGGATGGCCTGGGAATCATCAGATCCTGTGGCTGGACGCTCCCTCCTCCCAGCCTGGTGCCCAGAGTCACCCATGGGGTGTGCCCTCTCACCCCCAATAGCACACGGCTAGGAACCCTGTCTCAGGAGGGGAAGGCAGGAGGGGGATACAGCCCAGGGTGGGTGTCACGGCCATTGCTCTGCCCGCCCACCCACAGTCAGGCCAGCACATAGGTTGGCTTCAGCATGCGGGTTCCGGGTCTGGGTTTGAATCCGGTCCTCACCATTTACTTGCACAGGGCGCCTTCTCCAGGAAGCCTCCCTGCGTTGTCCCAAGCCCCGCAGGATGGGTTTCCACTCCCAGGGTGCCCCCCAGCTCAGCTGTTGCTCCATCTTGGTCTGCATTTTGGTCCAAGTCCCTTTCGGAGAGTGACGGGTTCCCCTCCACACTGAGGACACCCCGTTTCTTGCCAAGACCCCGAGACCCCGCTTCTGCCTGCGTAGCGCGAAGGAAGTGTGTGTTCAGTCCACAACCTTATCTCAGACTCATAACCACTCTCTGTTGCTCCATTGAACCAAATATGTATTAAGCGCCGAATGTATGCTGGGCACTATTCAAGATGTGGGGCAGAGGACACCCTATGGGAACCCGAGGGGGAAGTGTTTCAGGCAGAGGGCACGGCCCATGTGGAGGCCCTGAGGCAGATCCACGCCAAGTGTGCTGGAGGCCTGGCGAGGAGGCCTGTGTGGCTGGGATGAAGTGAGAGGAGGAACCTGGGAGAGACAGCGTGGGGAGGAAGCTGGATGTCACGGAACACGGTGCAGAGTACGAGAGGAAACTGAGGCACAAAGATGGTGATCAGCTGGGGCATCCTGGCACAGCAGGGATCTGAACTACACCCACCTCATGGCTGGAACTGGAGGCCAGACGACACGCGGGCAGTCCCTTGGGGGCCCAGGAAGGGAGTCCAGCTGGCCCGTGAGTCACTCAGCCTGGTGTAAGTCATGGGCAGGGAACAGGGGAAAGGTGCTGGGCCCGGGGCCCACGCTGGGCTGGGTAGGTGGTCACGTGACCACCCAGGCCGCCTGCCCCGGGCCCATTGGCTGCCTGCCCCTGCCGGCTGGGCCTGCGCCTGCCCCGGACCCTATAAGGCCAGGGAGCTGAGGGTAGAGCCAGCTGCCAGCCTGGCCGGTCCGTCCTCTGTGGGACCCTGAGGAGTCCAGGTGAGTAGGGCTGTGGCTGCCTCAGTGACACCAGGGCGAGGCCAGGCCTGCAGGGTGGGTGTCAGGGTGGCTCAGGCCCTTGGCAGGGAGTGGGTGTGGGACGGGAGGCCTGGGAACCCCAGTTCACGCGCCTTCTCTGCTCCCTTCCAGCTTCTCACGCTCTCACTATGTCTGCTCCAGATGAAGGGAGCCGGGATCCCCCCAAACCCAAGGGCAAGGTAAACAGAAGAAAGTGGGGGCAGATCCTTGCTGCGGCTCAGAGATGCCCCAGAGCCCAGGAAGGCAACCTCCACAGTCCTGGGGGCTCAATTCTGGAGAGGGGCTTCCCTGGTGGGCCTGCGAGGGCTCTGGGAGCCATGATGCCAACCTCTCCCTTCCTGACTTGAGCTGCAGGTGGGGGACCGATGCAGACGTCAGCCCCTTCCCCAGTGGGTGACCTTGGGCCGGCCTCGGCCCCGCCCCTCTCTGAGCCTCAGTTTCCCCATCTGTGCAGTGGGGATCCTGGAAGGAAAAGGTTTTTGGAGATGGGGTAGACGATCTTTTCCTCTGTGTGTGGGAGGCAGGCTGTGCCTGCCCATTGCCCAGGTGCAGAAACTGAGGCTGAGTGAAACACTTTCCTGTGGTCACCCGGGAGCAGGGGGCTGGGGCGGTGCTGGGCTGATGGATGGATGGTTCCTCTGATCTCCGTCACTGCCAAGGCTTGGCCGGCTCATCCTGCACACCCCCCCCCCCCGCCCCCCGTGCAGACCCTGGGCAGCTTCTTTGGGTCCCTGCCTGGCTTCAGCTCTGCCCGGAACCTGGTGGCCAACGCGCACAGCTCAGTGAGAGCCCGGTCAGCCGCCGACACCCTGGGAGCTCCTACTGCCGAGGCTGCCCGACCACAGGCTGAGGGTGAGTGGCCGGCCCGGTGGGGGCTGCCGGGGGGACTCTGCACATGGACCCAGGAGAAGGAGGTCCCCAGGCAGGGACTTCCGGCCGTCTGGGGAGCCTTACATATTTGTCTGTTTTCTCATCAGATACTATGATATCTAGTACCAGATGGGGAAACTGAGGCACAAATGGGGGGACGAGTGGCCAAAGGTGGTGTAACCAGCCAAAATGGGCTTTCAACCTAGCCTGTTTCCCTGCAGTGCCCCCTACTCGGTCCCTCTGCCATTTCTTCACTCTGCCCCCCGTTTCTGACGTGCCATGGATCAGGCTGGGTGCTCTGCCTATCTGAGCTCATCAGAGTGAGATCCAGGCTCCCTGGGAGAGGCAGCAGCTCTCCTGGGGTCACAGCCTGGGGGCTCCCCAGCCTCCTATGGCTCACCTTGGGCAATCGGGGACGGTGACAGGGAACCCAGGGTTGGGGCGGTCGCCCAAGCTGGGCCTCCCTCTGGGCCCAGAGCCCCAGGCAGCTGACTTCTGCTCCACATACCTCGGCCTGGCAACAGGCAGCAGGCAGCTGCGGCAGGGGCGGGGCTGGCCGGCCCTGGCAAGGGGCTGCTCCCCCATCTCAGGCTATGTGAACCCCAGGACTCAGGGTGGGTGTCCAGCACCGAGCACAGGAAGCTCCATGGAGGCTTCTCCAGGGAACGGTGGCTCTGGGCTTGGGGGAGCCCCCAGTGGGGTTGGGGGTGGTGGTGACAGGTCTGGCTGGTAGCTGTGGATGTCACCTCCTGCTGTCCCTGGCAGGGTGGCTGAAACATTCCTGACCTTTCAGGCTGGGCCTGGCTATTGCGCAATGGGTGGCCGAGTAGATGATTCTAACCTGTATCCCTCGCCCTCCCTGACTGGCCCGTGTCCCCACAGTAGCTGCCCACCCAGAGCAGACGGCTCAATGGACAGAGGAGCTGCAGCCTTCGGGAAAGGTGAGAGGCATGGGCAGGGCAGGACTGATGTCACAGGAACCCTCTGGGTACCCCTCCTGGGACATTTCTGTTCCTGCCATCTTGGGGGCTGCTGTCTGCCTGAAGGATGGCAGACAGCCTGGGGATTCCAGGTGGAGCTTCCCCTCAGAGCCTCTATTTCTGCATCTGTGAAATGGGTGCAGTGGCTTCCTCACTGTAATCACGCAAGGCTCCAGGCTATGCAGGGCTGTGCCTGACATGGTGTGACCGAAGCGACAGTAACATAAGCACTTTTTCTTTCATTTTTATTTTTTGAGACACAGTTTCACTGTTTCTCCCAGGTTGGAGTGCAGTGGTGCAATCTTGGCTCACCGTAACCTCCGCATCCCGGGTTCCAGAAATTTTCCTGCCTCAGCCTCTCAAGTAGCTGGGATTACGGGTGCCCACTACCATGACTGGCTAATTTTTTTTAATTTTTTTGTTTTATTTTATTTTATTTTTTGAGACAGAGTTTCGCTCTTGTTACCCAGGCTCGAGTGCAATGGCGCGATCTCGGCTCACCGCAACCTCCGCCTCCTGGGTTCAGGCAATTCTCCTGCCTCAGCCTCCTGAGTAGCTGGGATTACAGGCACGCGCCACCATGCCCAGCTAATGTTTTGTATTTTTAGTAGAGACGGGGTTTCACCATGTTGACCAGGATGGTCTCGATCTCTTGACCTCGTGATCCACCCGCCTCGGCCTCCCAAAGTGCTGGGATTACAGGCTTGAGCCACCGCACCCGGCGACTGGCTAATTTTTGTATTTTTAGTAGAGACAGGGTTTCAGAATGTTGGCCAGGCTGGTCTTGAACTCTTGACCTCCAGTGATCTACCTGCCTCGGCCTCCCAAAGTGCTGGGATTACAGGCGTGAGCCACCGTACCTGGCAAAAGGAGCTGTTTTCATCGGCATTTTCCAGACAAGGATATTAGCTCAGGGCATGTGGCTGGCCTAAGGCCACACAGCACAGTGAGTGTCGGGCGGGAGAGGGTAAAAACCTGGGACTTGAACCCGGGTGTCTCCAGCTAGAGCTCAAGGTGCCCACCCGAGCCAAAGATAGTGGGGAGATGGGTTCTGAGAAAATAATTTCTGGGCTTTTCAACGTCGGTATTGTGGATACTTGGGATCAGATCACTCTCTGGGGTGGGGCCATCCTGGGCACTGCAGGGTGTTGAGCAGCATCCCTGGCCCCCACCCACTCCCTGCCAGGAGCGCCCCCAGCTGTGACACCCACAGATGTCTCCAGATATCAGCAAGAGTGCCCCTAAGTACAGTATCGCCCATTTGAGAGCTACTGAATTAAAGCACCTTGGCAAGGCGCCGTGGCTTATGACTGTAATCCCTGCCCTTTGGGAGCCCATGGTGAGTGGATCAGTTGAGCTCAGGAGTTCAAGACCAGCCTGGCCAATATGGTGAAACCCCGTCTCTACTAAAAATACAAAAATGAGCTGGGTGTGGTGGCGGGTGCCTGTAATCCCAGCTACTCAGGAGGCTGAGGCAGGAGAATTGCTTGAACTCAGGAGGCAGAGGTTGCAGTGAGCCAAGATCATGCCATTGCATTCCAGCCTGACCTATGCCATCATCACCTTCATTCGTTTGTTTGCTTTTATTTTTTAAATTATTACTATTTTTTTGAGACAGAGTTTTGCTCTGTCGCCCAGGCTGGAGTGCAACAGCACAATCTCGGCTCACTGCAACCTCTGCCTCCCAGGTTCAAGGGATTCTTCTGCCTCAGCCTCCTGAGTAGCTGGGATTACAGGAGCATGTCACCACACCCTGCTAATTTTTGTATTTTTAGTAGAGACGGGGTTTCACCATGTTGGTCAGGATGGTCTCGAACTCGTGACCTCATGATCTGCCCCCATTGGACTCCCAAAGGGCTGGGATTACAGGTGTGAGCCACTGTGCCCGGCCTGTTTTTATTTTTAAAGGTCTCACTCTGTTGCTCAGGCTGCTTTCAAACTCCAGGGCTCAAGCAATCCTTCCACCTTAGCCTCCCATAGTGCTGGGATTACAGGTATGAGCCACTGTGCCCAGCTTGAATATACTACTGCTTTTGAGACAGAGTCTTATTCTGTTACCCGGGCTGGCGTGCAGTGGTACGATCACTTCTCACTACAGCCTCAACCTCCTGGGCTCAAGCAATCCTCCCGCCTCAGCCTCCCAAGTAGCTGGGACTACAGGTGTGTGCCACCACCTGGCCAGCTGTTCAAATTTGGTAGAGACTGGGTCTGGGTCTGGTTTGGTTGTCCAGGCTGACCCTGAAGTCCTGGGCTCAAGCAATCCTCTCACCTTGGCCTCCTAATGTGCCAGGATTGCAGGCATCAGCCATCACACCTGGCCTGGATATAATGAAAAAAAAATTTTTTTTTTTTTTTTTGAGACAGAGTTTCGCTCTTGTTACCCAGGCTGGAGTGCAATGGCCGATCTCGGCTCACCGCAACCTCCGCCTCCTGGGTTCAGGCAATTCTGCCTCAGCCTCCTGAGTAGCTGGGATTACAGGCACCCGCCACCACACCTGGCTAATTTCGAATTTTCAGTAAAGATGGAGTTTCTCCATGTTGCCCACGCTAGTCTTGAACTCCTGACCTCAGGTGATCCGCCTGTCTCAGCCTCCCAAAGTGCTGGGATTACATCCATGAGCCACCCTACCCAGCCTGATGTAACAATTTTAATAAGCAATTTGGTGTCCCTGGTGTCACTAGGACACCAGGCTCAACATTTGTCACGAATGGAGAAAAGGCAAGAGGAACAGAAACGTAACGGTAGGACTTGCGCTGAGTCGAGGCCTGGGGACCTTGGCGTCCGAAATGTGCTGTTACAGACGAGGCCTGCCTATTGCAGGGGAACGGAAGGGGTGAGAATGGGAGAGGCAGGCACTGTGAGCTCATGAGGACTTCGTCCCTGAGTCAGGGCGCCACTCCACAGCCTGATGAGTGTCTGGCTGACCCGGGTCGGGCTGAGAAAGAAGCAGCTCGCTCTTTGAGGACGTGGGGCCTCTGGGTGCCTACAGTTCCTTGCCCCAAGGCACCCTAAGGGGCTGGGCTGGCGGGCGTTGGGGTGGAAAGTTCTTCTCAGTCCTCCTCTTGATCACCTGTGTCCTTTCTCAGCAGATGGTGTCCGGGGCCAAAGACCTGGTGTGTTCCAAGATGTCCAGGGCCAAGGACGCTGTCTCCTCCGGGGTGGCCAGTGTGGTGGGCGCAGCTAAGGGAGTGGTCCAGGGAGGGCTGGATACCACCCGGTCTGCACTCACGGGCACCAAGGAGGCGGTGTCCAGCGGGGTCACGGGGGCTGTGGATGGGGCTAAGGGCGCCATCCATGGGGGCCTGGACACCTCGAAGGCTGTTCTCACTGGCACCAAGGACACAGTGTCTGCCGGGCTCACGGGGGCAGTGAACATGGCCAAAGGGACTGTCCAGATCGGGGTGGACACCTCCAAGACTGTGCTAACGGGTACCAAGGACACCGTCTGCAGTGCGGTGACCGGTGCTGTGAATGTGGCGAAAGGGACTGTCCAAGGGGGCCTGGACACGACAAAATCTGCCCTGACTGGCACTAAAGACGCTGTGTCCACCGGAGTCACGGGGGCAGTGAACTTGGCCAAAGGAACCATCCAGACTGGCGTGGATACCAGTAAGGCTGTGCTGACCGGCACCAAGGACACCGTCTGTAGTGGGGTGACTGGTGCCATGAACACTGCCAAAGGGGCCGTCCAGACAGGTGTGGACACCACCAAGACCGTCCTCACTGGTACCAAGGACACCGTCTGCAGTGGGGTGACTGGTGCCGTGAACGTGGCCAAGGGGGCCATCCAGGGGGGCCTGGACACCACCAAGTCTGTGGTCATGGGTACGAAAGACACAGTGTCCACCGGGCTTACGGGGGCGGCGAATGTGGCCAAGGGGGCCGTGCAAACTGGACTCAACACAACCCAAAATATCGCAGCAGGTACCAAGGACACTGTCTGTAGCGGGGTAAGAGGTGCCATGAACTTGGCCAAAGGAACCGTCCAGACAGGCGTGGACACCACCAAGACCGTCCTAACCGGTACCAAGGACACCGTCTGCAGTGGGGTGACCGGTGCCATGAACGTGGCCAAGGGAGCTGTGCAAACTGGGCTGAAAACGACCCAAAATACCGTGACAGGCACAAAGAACACCGTTGGCAGTGGAGTGACCGGTGCCGTGAATGTGGCCAAGGGGGCCGTCCAGACGGGTGTAGACACAGCCAAGACCGTGCTGACCGGCACCAAGGACACAGTGACTACTGGCCTCATGGGGGCGGTGAATGTCGCCAAAGGGACTGTCCAGACCGGCGTGGACACCTCCAAGACCGTGCTGACCGGCACCAAAGATGCTGTGTCCACTGGACTCACAGGGGCCGTGAATATGGCCAAAGGAACCATCCAGACCGGCATAGACACCACCAAGACTGTCCTAACCGGTACCAAGGACACCGTCTGCAGTGGGGTGACTGGTGCCATGAAAGTGGCCAAGGGAGCTGTCGAGGGGGGCCTGGACACCACCAAGTCTGTGGTCATGGGTACAAAAGACACAGTGTCCACTGGGCTCATGGGGACAGCAAATGTGGCCAAGGGGGCCGTCCAGACAGGTGTAGACACAGCCAAGACCGTGCTGACCGGCACCAAGGACACAGTGACTACTGGGCTCATCGGGGCGGTGAATGTCGCCAAAGGGACTGTGCAGACTGGCATGGACACCTCCAAGACCGTCCTAACGGGTACCAAGGACACCGTCTGCAGTGGGGTGACAGGTGCCGTGAATGTGGCCAAGGGGGCCGTCCATGGGGGCCTGGACACTACAAAGTCTGTCCTGACTGGTACTAAAGACGCTGTGTCCACGGGAGTCACCGGGGCAATGAACTTGGCCAAAGGGACCATCCAGACCGGCGTGGACACGAGTAAGGCTGTGCTGACAGGTACCAAAGAGGCTGTTTGCACTGGGGTGACGGGTGTCGTGAATGTGGCCAAAGGGGCCGTCCAGACGGGTGTGGACACCACCAAGACCGTCCTAACTGGTACCAAGGACACCGTCTGCAGTGGGGTGACCGGTGCCATGAATGTGGCCAAAGGGGCTGTGCAAACTGGACTGAAAACGACCCAAAATATCGCGACAGGTACAAAGAACACCGTTGGCAGTGGAGTGACCAGTGCTGTGAACATGGCCAAGGGGGCCATTCAGGGGGGCCTGGACACCACCAAGTCTGTGGCCATGGGTACGAAAGACACAGTGTCCACTGGGCTCACGGGAGCAGCAAATGTGGCCAAGGGGGCCGTCCAGACGGGTGTAGACACAGCCAAGACTCTGCTGACTGGCACCAAGGACACAGTGACTACTGGGCTCATGGGGGCAGTGAATGTCGCCAAAGGGACCGCCCAGACCGGCATGGACACCTCCAAGACTGTGCTGACCGGTACCAAGGACACCGTCTGCAGTGGGGTGACCAGTGCCATGAACTTGGCCAAAGGAACCATCCATACTGGCATGGACACCACCAAGACCGTCCTCACTGGTACCAAGGACACCGTCTGCAGTGGGGTGACCGGTGCCGTGAACGTGGCCAAGGGGGCCATCCAGGGGGGCCTGGACACCACCAAGTCTGTGGTCATGGGTACGAAAGACACAGTGTCCACTGGGCTCACGGGGGCGGCGAACGTGGCCAAGGGGGCCGTGCAAACTGGACTCAACACAACCCAAAATATCGCAGCAGGTACCAAGGACACTGTCTGTAGCGGGGTAAGAGATGCCATGAACTTGGCCAAAGGAACCGTCCAGACAGGCGTGGACACCACCAAGACCGTCCTAACCGGTACCAAGGACACCGTCTGCAGTGGGGTGACTGGTGCCGTGAACGTGGCCAAGGGAGCTGTGCAAACCGGCCTGAAAACGACCCAAAATATTGCGACAGGTACAAAGAACACCGTTGGCAGTGGAGTGACCGGTGCCGTGAATGTGGCCAAGGGGGCCGTCCAGACGGGTGTAGACACAGCCAAGACCGTGCTGACCGGCACCAAGGACACTGTGACTACTGGCCTCATGGGGGCGGTGAATGTCGCCAAAGGGACTGTCCAGACCGGCGTGGACACCTCCAAGACCGTGCTGACCGGCACCAAAGATGCTGTGTCCACTGGACTCACAGGGGCCGTGAATATGGCCAAAGGAACCATCCAGACCGGCATGGACACCACCAAGACTGTCCTAACCGGTACCAAGGACACCGTCTGCAGTGGGGTGACTGGTGCCACCAGTGTGGCCAAAGGGGCCATCCAGGGGGGCCTCGACACAACAAAGTCTGTCCTGATTGGCACTAAAGACGCTGTGTCCACTGGGCTCACAGGGGCAGTGAACTTGGCCAAAGGGACTGTCCAGACTGGTGTGGACACCTCCAAGACTGTGCTCACGGATACCAAGGACACCATCTGCACTGGGGTCACCGGTGCCATGAGCATGGCCAAAGGGGCCATCCAGGGGGGCCTGGACACCACCAAGACGGTGCTGACCGGAACCAAAGACGCAGTGTCTGCTGGGCTCATGGGGTCGGGGAACGTGGTGACAGGGGCCATCCACACTGGCCTCAACACCTTCCAGAACTGGCTACCTAGTACCCAGGCCACCTCCTGGGGTGGACTCACCAGTGCCAGGACCACGGACGGGGGTGGGGAGCAGACTGCCCTGAGCCCCAGAGAGGCCCAGTTCTCTGGTGTCTCCAGGCCCCCAGATGTGCTCACAGTAGGCCCGGAGCCTGCCTGGGAAGCCACAGCCACTGCCAAGGGCCTTGCACCTGATGTGGCCACATTCACCCAAGGGGCCACCTCAGGTGAGGAGGACACGGGGCCCTTGGCCACCACACCCGGCCCTGAAGAAGCTCGGCGCTTGGCAATGTTGCGAGATGAGTTGGAGGGGCTAGGTGACATCTTTTACCCCATGAATGTGGACGAGCAAGGTGAGTAGATGCCTGGATTCCCAGGTCCCTGAGGCAGGCACAGCTACTAGGGGGCCCTTGACTTTTTTTTTTCTTCTCGAGATGGAATTTCACTCTTTTTGCTCAGGCTGGAGTGCAGTGGAGTGATCTTGCAACCTCTGCCTCCGGGATTCGGCGATTCTCCTGCCTCAGCCTCCCGAGTAGCTGGGATTTCAAGCACACACCACCACACACAGCTAACTTTTCTGTATTTTTGGTAGAGATGGGGTTTCTCCATGTTGGTCAGATGGGTCTCGAACTCCTGACCTTAGGTGACCTGCCCACCTCAGCTTCCCAAAGTGCTGGGATTACAGGCGTGAGCCACCACACCCGGCCAGCCCTTGACTTAAAAAAAAAAAAAAAAAAAATTATTTGGTTGTATTTGGTTGACTTCAGATGGAGGCGGCTGGTCCTGGGTTCAAACGATCCTCCTGCCTTGGCCTCCCAAAGTGTTGGGATTACATGCAAGAGTGCTCAGCCCTTTTTCCTTTTTTTAGAGACAAGGTCTTACTCTGTTGTCCATACTGGAGTGCAGTGGTGCGTTCACAGCTCACTACAACCTCAATCTCTTGGGCTCAAGTGATCCCACTGCTTCAGCCTCTCAAGTATCTAGGACCACCACACCCGGCTATGTACGGCTGTGTATTTTAGGTAGAGACAGGTCTCCCTATGTTGTCCAGGCTGGTCTCAAACTCCTGGGGTCAAGCATTTCTCTGGCCTCAGACTCCCAAAGTGCTGAGATCACAGGCATGCACCACCACACCCAGCTTTATTTTTATTTTTGAGACAGTCTCACTCTTATCACCCAGGATGGAGTGCAGTGGCAGTGTTGACTCACTGCAACCTCCATGCTTTCTGGGTTCAAGTGATTCTCCTGCCTCAGCCTCCCACATAGCTGGGATTACAGGTGCCTGCCAGCACACTCAGCGTTTTTTTTTTTTCAACCTCTACCTCCTGAGTTCAAGCAATTCTCCTGCCTCAGCCTCCCTAGTAGCTGGGACTACAGGTATGAGCCACTACATCCAGGTAAGTTTTGTATTTTTTAGTAGAAATGGGGTTTCACCACATTGGACGGTCTGGTCTCGAACTCCTGACCTCGTGATCAGCCTGCCATGGCCTCCCAAAGTGCTGAGATTACAGGCACGCGCCACTGCCTGGTCTTTTTGTATTTTTAGTAGACACAGGGTTTCACCATGTTGGCCAGGCTGCTTTGACTCCTGACCTCATGATCCATCCGCCCGCCCACCTGCCTCGGCCTCCTAAAATACTGAGATAATAGGCGTGAGCCATCATGCCTGGCTTCACCTGACTTTTATAAAGCCCAAGCCCCGGCCGGGTGTGGTGCTCATACCTGTAATCCAAGCCCTTTGGAGGCCAAGGTGGGTGGATCACCTGAGATGGGGAGTTCAAGACCAGCCTGACCAACATGGTGAAACCGCATCTTTTTTTTTAAATAAGTAAATAAATAATAAAAATAAAAAAGCCCAAGCCCCAACACCCTGAGGGGCTCCTGGGACTGAGTAGTATGCCTTCCTTTCCAGCTCAGCTGGCTGCCTCCCAGCCCGGGCCAAAGGTGCTGTCAGCCGAACAGGGGAGCTACTTCGTTCGCTTGGGTGACCTGGCTCCCAGCTTCCGCCAGCGGGCATTTGAACACGCAGTGAGCCATCTGCAGCATGGCCAGTTCCAAGCCAGGGACGCTCTGGCCCAGCTCCGTGACTGCTTCAAGCTGGTAAGAGGTTCCCCCTGCTGCTGCCCCTGCCCCAAGGCACTTCTTAGGACCCCTGCCCGGGACTCACCCGGCTGCACGTACCTCCTGAGCGCCTAGGAGATGATGTCCGTCAGTGTCACCGACGGCCATGGCTCTGCACTCTTGGGGCTTGGTTCCCGGCGAGGTAGGCAGAGCTACATCAGATCCTTAAAGACAGCGGGTTGGCCGGGTGCGGGGGCTCACGCCTGTAATCCCAGCACGCTGGGAGGCTGAAGAGGGTGGATCACGAGGTTAAGAGATCAAGACCATCCTGGCCAACAGGGTGAAACCCCGTCTCTACTGAGAATACAAATATTAGCTGGGCATGGCAGTGCACACCTGTAGTCCCAGCTACTTGAGAGGCTGAACCCAGGAGGTAGAGGTTGCAGTGAGCCGAGATGGTGCCACTGCACTCCAGCCTGGGCAACAGAGCAAGTCTGTCTCAGAAAAGCCTAAGGCAGTAGGGACACAAAGATGGCAAAACAGTCTGTGTGCAGAGGGGGATGTGGGCTGGGCAGGAAGGCCGTCCCCCTGGGCCCGGTCTTGACCAATGGGGAGACAGTTGTGCAAAGCCCCCACGAAGGTAGGGATAGCAGGACAGCAAGCTACCAGGGAGGCAGCTGGGTATGTTCCAGGAGCAGAAAGGCGGTGCTGTGGCTGAGGCAGACGACGCTGGAATGGGATCTAAGGGGGCCACAGGGCATGGGGCTGCAGTGTACGCAGGGAAGGACCCAGCACAAGACCTGATGAGCCCCCAGGGGACATTAGCCCATGTCCAGGGACATCTGTGGTTGTGACATTGAATCAGATGGCATCCCAGGGCCGGGTCCCCTGACCAGAGTGGTCCTCCCCTCTCCCTGGCCCCACTCTCCTCCTCTGGCCTAGGGTCACCCGCTTGGCAGTGTGGATGTTGGGGCTGGATCATTCTCTGGGGTGGGGTCATCCTAGTCACTGCAGGGAGCTGAGCTTCATCCCTGGCATCCAGTTTTCCCCTCCCCAGTCCTGAGGCCCTGAGTTTTCTTTAGAAGCTGTGGTATGTCCCGTGAGGGCAGAATCTCACAGGACTGCTATAGGGTTTTTTGTTTTTTGTTTTTGTTTTTGAGACGGACAAGGTCTTGTTTGGCCACCCAGGCTGGAGTACAGTGGCTTGATCATGGCTCACTGCAGCTTCATCCTCCTGGGTTCAAGAGATCCTCACACCTCAGCCTCTCCAGTGGCTGGGAAAACCAGCATGCACCACCACGCCCAGCTGATTTTTTAAATGTTTATTTTTTTGAGACGGAGTTTCGCTCTTGTTACCCAGGCTGGAGTGCAATGGCGCAATCTCGGCTCACTGCAACCTCCGCCTCCCGGGTTCAGGCAATTCTCCTGCCTCAGCCTCCTGAGTAGCTGGGATTACAGGCACGCACCAACATGCCCAGCTAATTTTTTGTATTTTTAGTAGAGACGGGGTTTCACCATGTTGACAAGGATGGTCTCGATCTCTTGACCTCGTGATCCACCCGCCTCAGCCTCCTAAAGTGATGGGATGACAGGCGTGAGCCACCGCACCCGGCCTTAAATGTTTATTTTTAATAGAGATGGGGTTTTTCCATGTTGGTGAGGCTGGCCTCAAACTTCTGACCTCAGGTGATATACCCGCCTCGGCCTCCCAAAATGCTGGGATTACAGGCACGAGCCACCGTGTCTGGATTTTTTTTTTTTTTCTTGAGATGGAGTGTTGCTCTGTTGCCCAGGCTGGGGTGCAGAGGCACTATCTCCACTCACTGCAACCTTGGCCTCCCAGGTTCAAGCAGTTCTCTGCCTCGGCGTCCCAAGGACCTGGGATTACAGGCATGTGCCACCATGCCTGGCTACTTTTTGTATTTTTAGTAGAGACAGGGTTTCGCCATCTTGACCAGGATGGTCTTGAATTCCTGACCCTGTGATCCCAAGTGCTGGGATTACATACATTGAGCCACCACGCCCCACCTGTTTTATTTTTTACTAGATGTTAGATTTTGCTGTGTTGCCCAGGCTGGTCTTAAATTCCTGGGCTCAAGTGATCCTCCTGCCTCAGCCGCCCCAGTAGCTGGGACCAAAGGTAGGTACTACCAAACCCGGTTAATTTTTTGTAGAGATTGAGTCTCCCTATATGGCCCAGGGTGGTCTTGAGCTCCTGGGCTCCAGCAATCCTCTTGCCTTGGCCTCCCAAAGTCCTGGGATGACACCATGAGCCACTGTGCCCAGCGGTCATAGATCGTGGTTTTTTTTTTTTTTTTTTTGACAGTTTGTTGCCTAGGCTGGAGTGCAGTGGCATGGTCTCAGCTCAGTGCAACCTCCGCCTCCTGGGTTCAAGCAATTATCATGCCTCAGCCTCCCATGTAGCTGAGATTATAGGCGTGCACCACCACGCCTGGCTGATTTTTTGTGTGTATTTTAGTAGAGATGGGGTTCATCATGTTATCCAGGCTGGTCTTGAACTCCCGACCTCAGGCAATCCGCCCATCCTGGCCTCCCCAAATGCTGGGATGACAGGCGTGAGCCACCGCGTCCCGCAGCCACAGGTTTTGCATGTTGGTGGATGGCAGTCCGATCCCCTCGGCTGTGAGAAACCTCGAGATGCTGCCCTGAGGCAGGATTCCTGGGTGCAGCCCAGGCTGAGGTATTTTCAGTTGATGTTGGGATGGGGGGGCTGTGACAAACCGCAGTTTGAGGGTCTAACCCAGAGTTCTCAGTGAGGATGACCTGCCCCCAGGGGACATTAGTCCATATCTGGGGCCATCTGTGGTTGTCACAGCTGGGGGAAGCCCCTGGTGGAGACGGGGTGGAGGCCAGGGCTGCTGCTCAGCGCCCTGCAGTGTCCAGAGAGGCCCCGCCCCAGAGATCAGTGCAGCCCCAGTGTCCACAGTGCTGAGGGCAAGCTTGTCCTGGGGACCCTCCAGACACTCCACGTCGCTGCGGCCACCCCCAGGTGCACAGTCGCTGCTGCGTCTCCAGCACGCGGGACAATGGCGCACCTAGAAGGCGTTTCCCAAATGCCGTAGGGGAACAAAGGAAGGGCACACCCTCGCGGCCCACTTCCAGCAGCTCATCACAAAGCTTTTTCCAAACCTTGCCTGGGTTTTTGGAACAGTCTGTCCACCAGGCTGGAGTGGTGGCACGATCTCGGCTCGGTGCAACCTCCGCCTGCCTCGCGGGTTCAAGTGATTATTCTGCCTCAGCAGCCCGATTAGCTGGGATTACAAGCGTGTGCCATACCTAGCTGATTTTTTTTTTTTTTTTTTTTTTTTTTGAGACGGAGTTTCGCTCGTTACCCAGGCTGGAGTGCAATGGCGCGATCTCGGCTCACCGCAACCTCCGCCTCCTGGGTTCAGGCAATTCTCCGGCCTCAGCCTCCTGAGTAGCTGGGATTACAGGCACATACCACCATGCCCAGCTAATTTTTTGCACCATTAGTAGAGACGGGGTTTCACCATGTTGACCAGGATGGTCTCGATCTCTTGACCTCGTGATCCACCCGCCTTGGCCTCCCAAAGTGCTGGGATTCCAGGCTTGAGCCACCGCGCCCGGCCTGATTTTTGTATTTTTAATAGAGACGGAGTTTCACCATGTTGGTCAGGCTGCTTCACGAACTCCTGACCTCAGGTGACCTGCCTACCTCGGCCTCCCACAGTGCTGAGGTAACAGGCATGAGCCCCCTGCCCCTGGCCCATTTTTTCACCTTTCAATCCTCACGGCAAAGTAGGCTGGGCCAGAACTCAGCCCAGGGACTTTTCAGAAAGGGAGACAGAGGCCACCAGGAAGACAAGAGCTTTGCTCAGGGCTACATGCGAAGGATGCTGGGCTAGGAAAAAGGATGTGCGATGACTTCCCACTTACTCCCGTAAGTGCTAGTGAAGGCCCTGGAGATCCCAAGAACCCAGTCCTGCCCTCAAGAGGGGACGATGTAGTCGGGGGACATGATTTGTGAATGCATGTATGGTGCGTTGGACAATGCTTGGAAACGTGGAAAATGTGTCAGGATAAGGAAGTGGCAGTGCTGGGGCTGATCACCCAGAAGAGGGGACACTCGAGGTCAGGTCTAGATGACAGCGAGAGCGCGTCAGAATGGGCAGTGTTAGCAGAGGGCACAGTCCGTGCAAAGGCCCTGGGGTGGCAGGACTGTGCCCAGCATGTTGGAGGAAAAGCCAGGAGAGGCCTGGGTGGCTGGAGCAGAGTGAGGAGGGGATGGGCCCAGTTGGGCAGGACCCGGCTTCGACCAGGATGGAGGCGGGAGGCTTGGAGTGCTCTGGGCAGAGGAGTGGCCTGACCCAGGGTGGGTTTCGTTTAAGAGGATCGCTCTGAGGAGGATGTCAGGCCCCCGAGCGGGGGCAAGGGCCAGAAGCCAGGTAAGTGCTACAGGGCCTGAGGAGTCATGCTGTGGTGGTTAAGAAGCAGCTGGGCTTGGGGTGTTTCCAAGTCACAGCTGCCCAAGTCTGATGTAGGAGGTCAGAAAGAGATGACCCCAAGAGACCCGTTAGGTTTGTAACCTGAGCAGCCAAGGAAAGCAGGGGTGCTTAGGGGATGCTGGGCGGGTTGCACAGTGGACATCAGGAGCCTGGGCTTGGACAGGGCAAAAGGAGATGCCCGGTGGCCACCCAGGGCACGCGTCCAAATACGTGGCTGGCTTCAGGTCTCCAGCGACGGTGGGGTGAGGGCTGGGAGGGTAACGGCAGTCTGGAGTGGACATTTTGGCTGTGTGCGGCATGCCCACCAGCCGTTGTGATGACAAGGACAACTGGGCCCTGTGGACAGGGTGGCGGCAGGTGCCATGTGCTGGGGATACCGCACCCAACAAGGACAGAGTCCTGAGAGTTCCCGCCCCAGGGGCAGATAAACAGGAAGTAAATGAACACCCACCTCGCCTTCAGACAGTGCTGTGTCCGAGGACAGGAACAGCTGTGACGGGAATGGACTGAGCGTGAGTGGGCAGGGGAGGCTTCGCCAAGGGTCCCCAGAAGCTGAGGCAGAACGCAGGCCTTGGGCAAGGCTGTGGGCTGAGCGGGCAGTGTGGGCAGAGGCCCTGGGGCAGAAGCCTGGCAGAGTGGTCAGAGGGCAGTGGAGACAGCATTGGGGTGTGGGTCAGAGATGACAGAGGCGTCCCAGGGGCCACCCAAGCAAGGCCATGGTGAGGAGTTGGGTGTTATCTTAATGGCACTGGGGAGTCATGCGAGGGTTTAGGACGGAGGAGTGACATGACCCTATGGATGCTGTGCTACGTGTGCTCCCTCGTGACCTTATGGGGATGTTTGAACTGCTGCCTCTTTCTGAGACAGCACGCCCGACATGGTACAACTGACTTGGAACTCATGGCCTTGCCCCCAGGCCACAGGACACACCCAAGCCGGGACTCTGTATGCACCTAAGTCCCTGAGGAATGAGGGCATGTTGTGAAAGGTCAGTGCTAAGAAGCCATCATCTCCCCACTGGACTTTCTCCAGATTCAAAAGGCCCAGCCGCCTACGGAAGGGCAGCCGTGTCTGGACCAGGGCTCCGGTGCCAGCGTGGAGGACGCTGCTGTCCAGAAGGTGGGTCTGGCACAGGGCTGGGGTCCCCCTACCCTGCCCATGGGTCTCCACTCACCTCGTGCTGTCCTCCCACAGGAGCAGGATGCTGGGGCTCTGTCCAGGGTCTGTGGCCTCCTCCGGCAGCTGCACCGGGCTTACAGCGGCCTGGCCTCCAGCCTCCAGGGCCTGCCTGCCGAGCTCCAGCAGCCAGTGGGGCGGGCGCGGCACAGCCTCTGCCAGCTCTACAGCGTGGTGGCCTCGGCAGGCTCTCTAAAGGAGCTGCACGCAGAGCGCCTGGGACAGAGCCTCGAGGACATGCAGAAGGCGTGGGAGGGGCTGGAGCAGCTACTGGAGAGCGTGCAGCACAATCCCCGGCTCAGCTGGCTGGTGGGGCCCTTCGCCCTGCCCCCTGGGGGGCAGCAGTTGTAAGACCCTGCAGGACCCAGCTCAGGACCACCCGGCTCTGCCTAGGGAGGAGCCGCCTTAGAACCTTCTCCCCAGCCCCAAACCCCGATCGGTTCCCTAAAGCCCTAGACCAGGCGTCCCCAAACTTTTTACACAGGGGGCCAGTTCACTATCCCTCAGACCGTTAGAGGGCCACCACATACTGTGCTCCTCTCACTGACCACCAATGAAAGAGGTGCCCCTTCCTGAAGTGCAGCGAGGGGCTGGATAAATGGCCTCAGGGGGCCGCATGCAGCCCGAGGGCCGTAGTTTGGGGACGCCTGCCCTAGACCCTCAGGGCTCCAGCTGGCTGGGCACGGAAGGGCTGTGGAGGCGGTGACCCGAGCCTGAGCCACCCACGCCCTGCTCCAGGCTGCCCACACCTTCTACCACTTCTCCAGCAATGCCAGTCCCTTTCCCAGCCTAGGAGCCCGGCGTAACTCACAGCTCCAGCCAAGAGCCTTCCCTCGAAGGCCTGGAGCGAGTCCGGCAATTCGAAAAGAGAAAGCATGCAGAGCCTAGGACGGCGTCCCTCTGCCCTCTAGCAACCCTTTTGTATGTAGGGGGCTCGTGCGGCCCTGCAGCACGCCCCCTCCCCAGCTCCCAGCGGCGCATGCGCTGCTGTGGCCGCACTCTGTTCCTGCACTCAAAGTGGGTCCTCAGGCCTTAGCACACCTTGAGGGTCTTAAGAACCACATTCCCTGGTACTAGAAGATAGCAGAAAATGCCAAAATACCTGCCACTGTCATCCCAAGGCAGGCTACTACTGTCTCTGTCGACCCCCCGCGTGGCCTCATGACGGGGACAAAGCTGCCAGGAACCACGGCAGCCAGAACGGGGTCTTTGCGGAGGCCTGAGGTGGGACTGACGTGGGCCTGCATGATTCGCAGGGGGTTGGGGAATGCAAAAACCAGCAAACAAGCTGCTTCTGCCCGTGCCCCTGCGCTTCTGAGGCTCCTGGGGAGGCTGGGCCCAGAACCAGGAGCCTCAGAACCAGAACCCTCCTCCAGGCTGGGCCCAGCAACTGCCCCTGGAGAACACAGAGCGTTTCCCAGACAGGAACTGCACCTTACGGAGGGAGCAGACGGGGCTGGGACCAGCTGTGGAGGTCACGTGCTGGTGACACAGCCCCTTCTCCCCGGCCCGCTCCCCCCAGGGCCTGAGGGCAGCATAAGCACTGGGCTGCAGAGGAAGCAGGGCCAGGGAAGCTGAGGGTATCCCAGACACTGGCGGCGGCAGACCCACCTGCCTGGCAAGGCTGCCCGACCCTGCGCTTGCCGGCTGGCCCAGGCCATGGAGGCTGGCAGGCTTGGGACAGGTGTGAGGAGTGCCCTGCGCTCAGTCCAGTGGGGAGGAGCCATCCAGCCCAGCCTCCCCCGGAAGCTGCAGCCCCACTCACCAACTCGGTAAGAGGACTCTCCCTTCTGTCCTCTGCTAGGACACGAGTCCAGGAACCCCAGACCTGGAGGGAGGTAGGGTGGAGGGGCTGCTGGCTGGTCACCGTGTGCACCAGAGGCCACGGCATTCGGCTCAGCTCTAAACTGGGGAAGGTGGCACGGCAGAAACAGCCCCAAGTGACGGGGTCATGAGAGGGGAGGATCAGGAGCCTTCCTGAGCCTTCCCTCCTCAGCCTCTGAAACCCACGGCCACGGGAGGCTAGGACGCCGGGCACAGCCATTTGCAGCCATCAGGCACAGTGACTGGGGCTAACGTCTGGCCCACCAAGCCCGCAACCAGGGAAGGGCAGTCCCTTCCCGCCACACCACAGCCTGATTCTTGCTGGGACGGAGGCGACTCGGCCACTGTGAGCAGAAACACGAAAAGCCACTGTGGACTGAGAAACTTTGGTGCACAGTGTGACTTTCTAAGGGCCATGCCCACGTGACAGCCCCTTACGCAGAGGAGGAAGATTTGCCCAAAGTCACACAGCATGAGTGACACAGCTGTGGTGAGTCGACGCTGGCCCCCAAGGCCCACACCCCCTGAATGCTGGAGACCACGGACCCCTGGCAGTGGCTCTTAAGGAAGGCGTGGTTTCTGCCTTCCCCACCTCTGCCCAGCTCACAGTGGGATGGGGTGGGGGTGGGGGTGGGGGTGGCGCAAGGCTGAGAGGCCCTGGTTTCTCCCTCTTGGCTGCTGGGAAGGGCTTGCTCCCACCCCACTCTACCGCCACCGGCCTTTCGGGATGGGGGTGGGCTGGGCCTGGAGCACCTTTTAGTTGCTTCACACGGTGGCCCGATGGCTCAACCCAGTCCCCAAACGGGCGCAGTGATGTTGCCAACTGTTCCCACACTTGGGCCCCCGCTGTACCAGCACTGCTAGAAAACCAAAGCCAATAAATGTGATTTCTGTTTCATTAAAAAACCCTTTATCATCATTTCATGGTGCTTGGAAATCACAGAAATTAGGCAGAAAAAAAACCCAAGGGACCAAATACAAACAGCACGGCGCTTCCCCACAGTTCTCGCTCTGCTCTCCCGCCAGCTGGGGAAGGAGACGGACAGCCTGCGGCGGGCTGAGCTGGGGCAAGGGCTGGGCCCTGGGGCCCTCGGCTCAGCTCTCCTCATCCAGGGCCTCCGAGTCCCCCCGCGCCCTCTCGTGCTCCGGCCGGTCGCTCCCAGGCCTGTCCAGGTCAGGGCCCTCCCGCAGGCTGCTGGTGGGAACAGCGAAGGCAGTGTGAGAACACCCTGCCCTGCCCTGCCCTGCCCGTGGGTCGGTTGAGTGGGGACAGGCCTGGAGCAGTGTGCTCCATTTGTGGCACCTGGGGCTCGAGTACCAGCCTGTCTTCTGCCACCAGAGACCACAAACATCTCCGGGGTCCCCAGGCTGGACCATCCAGGCCCAGCACAGGGCAGCTGCTGGGTAAGCGAGGAACTCCACGCCTTGTGCCAGACAGCGGGCCACAGTGATGGGCACTGGCACCGTCAGGTGGCCGGGTGTCTGTGCTGAGCGCCCACCTGGGCTACCCTGCAGGCTCAGCCAAAAGCCACCTTCCTAGGAGGCTGGGTGCAGGCAGCTCACAGCCCTGGAGCTGCCTCGGTGGAAGGTCCCTGAGTCGGGGTAATACGCCTGGACCCTTCCCAGAGGAACCGGCGGCTCCTGTCATGCCGCAGCCTCTCAGGAGGCCGCCCTCCCGCCCCGGGACACTCACTCGTGCAGGTCTTCAGAGGAGCCGCGTCTCGGCCCCTCCTCCGAGTCCTGACCCTCCTCATGCTCCTTGTCCTCCATGCTCTCCCCCTTCTGCGAAGAGGCTTCGCCGTTCACCGGGGCGGAGAGATCTGGGTGGGACAGAGGGGTCTCAGGGCACTGCTGGGATCTGCCTGGAAACCCCAGAACCCTTCCACCTCGAGTACTGGACCAGGTGCCAAGCTGGGTGCCGTGGACCCATGCGTCCCCAGCCACCTGGACCCTAGCACCTGCCCAAGTGCAGTGAACTCGGCTCCCCCATCTGGTCTGAGAGCTCCCGCAGGGAGGGCCGGGCTCTTCATGGTCCCATCCTGCAGCCCGCCCCAGCCCCAGCCCCAGCCACAGTGGCCTGGACAACTGGGGGCCCAAAAAATGATGGAACGTGGGCAGCTCTGGGAGAAGACCACTGCAGCCTGGGAGAGTCAAAGCAAGATGAGGCCAGGCGAGGGGGCTCACAATCCCAGCACGTGGGAAGCCAAGACTCGAGGATGGCTTGAGCCCAGGGAATTTAAGACCAGCCTGAGCAACATGGCAAAAACCCCGTCTCCTCAAAAATGACAAAAATCAGCAGGGTGTGGTGATGTGGGCCTATAATCCCAGCTCCTCAGGAGGCTGAGGTGGGAGGATGGCTTGAGCCCAGGCCGGCAAGGTTGCAGAGAGCTGTGATCATACCACTGTACTCCAGCCTGGGGGACAGAGCGAGACCCCAACATGGGGGGAAAAAAAAACCACCAGGCTTCAGCTGCCCCAGGCCATGAAGCCCAATCCCAAGCGCGCCCATCTCACCACCAAAGGGCTGCTCTGAGCACCCATAATGGAGCCATGACAGCCCAGCAGCCCTGAGGGACATGCCCCGTCGCCTGTCAGCCCACCAGGCAAGCAAAGGCACCCACCCTAAAGCCCTCACCAGCAAACCTCTGCTGACTGCCTCTCTGAAGAATCCCCGACTCTTTGTCCCCGCTGCACGGAGTGCCCCCCATCTACAGGCATCCTGAACCTGGAAGCGGTGGAGGCGTGTGTGATGCACTGTCCCTGTCACCCTTCCGGCAGGAGCCCCCAGTGGCCTGCACCCTGGCTGCCCAGCACACAGTGGGGCCTGAACACCCCTCACTAGCTGCCCCATGGATGAAAGCTGGGTCTGCACAGAGACCCCTAAAGGGACACAACACTGGTGGGTTCAGGGCAGAGAGCAGAGCTGTGCTCCCCTTCTAGAATGTTCTGCAAAGCATCTGTTTCTTCAGCGAAGACCGAGGTTCAGGGCCGCCCCTCCCGCCCCTTACCAGTACTGGGCTCCTCCTCCGCCTGCTGCTGGGGGGCCTCCTCCCCGGCCAGCTCCTCTCCGGGCAGCTTCTCCTCAGCTTTCTCCTTCTCTGTCCCAGCCTTGTTCGCTTTCTGCACTGCCTCGATCTTTGGGCCCAGGACCCTTGACTTAAGCCGGGTGTAGACTTCTGCCGCCTTCTCCATCACGTCCTTGTTTGCTTTGTAACGGCGAATCTGGCCACCAAGAGAGGAGACCTGGCTCACCCAAGTGCAGCTGGCCCTAGCCCTGGCCTGAGCCCCGCCCCCAGCAATGCCCCCCTCCAGAGGCACCTTCCAGGAGCACAGCTCTGAGCTTTTATTTTTGAGATGGAGTCTCGCTCTGTCACCAGGCTGGAGTGCAGTGGCATGATCTGGGCTCACTGCAACCTCTACCTCCTGGGTTTAAGCGATTCTCTTGCCTCAGACTCCTGAGTAGCTGGGACTATGAGTACCTGCCACCACACCCAGGTAATTTTTACTTTTAGTAGAGACGGTGTTTCACCATGTTGGTCAGGCTAGTCTCAAACTCCTGACCTCATGGTGCGCCTGCCTCAGCCTTCCAAAGTGCTGGGATTATAGGCATGAGCCACCATGCCGGGCCCGCACCAGGCATTTCTGCATTTCTACCCAACAGCCCTCGGCCTTCTGGCTGC